TTGACAGGAAACAAACTCACAATTCTCAATAAACAGGTTTCAGACAAAATACTCACAGAGAATAACTCACAATGTTTGACAATCTACCGACACAGGACAGCAAACACAAGGGGATTAAATAGGGAGACACTAAAGACAAAGACAGGTGAAGCTGACTAGACAAGGACAGGTGAAACTGACTAGACAATAATGACGAGACAAGGATAACAAGGGGGCGGGGTAACGTAACGAGACAACACAAGCACATGGCACAAAACACAAGACCATGTGCTTGCACACAAAACATGGGTCTGTCATGATCCTGCCTCAAGACTAGAGAAATGAAATGACAAGAGGGCAGAATCATGACAACTGATTGATTTTTGGGAAAGTAGGGAGCTCGACGCCATTATTTTCTTTATTGTAAACTGTTTTCTCTGTTTTTGGTTAGGGAGATAGGTTTATTGATTGTATCTTCATTTTCTTTTCTTTTGGGTTAGGGTTTAGGAAAGAGGTTTAAATTTAAGGTTGTTTTGTTTGTTATTTTGGCTTTGTCAGCTCCTGAATCGTAAGTCCCAAATGAAAAAATATATAACTTTTGTTCCAATTCCTCGCCTTTTGTTGACTCTTTCATGTTGCCCCTTTTCCCCTAGACGGGGTGTAACAGTCTTCAAAGTCAGAGTGTGTGTGTAGTCACTGTCAGTATGTGATCGAATAAAGGGTGTACCCCCTTTTATTTATAATTTCTGCAGTTTTGCTGACCTGATTGGATAGCTGATCTGTACGGAGGCATATGAGGAACTGAAGTGGATTTTGCATATGGAAAAATCAAGTGAGCCTGGAGCAGTGTGTGTGTGTGTGTGTTCACGAGTGAGCCTGGAGCAGTGTGTGTGTGTTCACGAGTGAGCCTGGAGCAGTGTGTGTGTGTTCACGAGTGAGCCTGGAGCAGTGTGTGTGTGTTCACGAGTGAGCCTGGAGCAGTGTGTGTGTGTGTTCACGAGTGAGCCTGGAGCAGTGTGTGTGTGTGTGTGTGTGTGTGTGTGTGTTCACGAGTGAGCCTGGAGCAGTGTGTGTGTGTGTGTGTGTGTGTGTGTTCACGAGTGAGCCTGGAACAGTGTGTGTGTGTGTGTGTGTGTGTTCACGAGTGAGCCTGGAGCAGTGTTTGTGTGTGTGTTCACGAGTGAGCCTGGAGCGCTGTGTGTGTGTGTGTGTGTGTGTGTGTGTTCACGAGTGAGCCTGGAACCGTGTGTCTGTGTGTGTGTGTGTGTGTGTGTGTGTTCACGAGTGAGCCTGGAGCAGTGTTTGTGTGTGTGTTCACGAGTGAGCCTGGAGCAGTGTGTGTGTGTGTGTGTTCACGAGTGAGCCTGGAGCAGTGTGTGTGTTCACGAGTGAGCCTGGAGCAGTGTGTGTGTGTGTGTTCACGAGTGAGCCTGGAGCAGTGTGTGTGTGTGTGTGTTCACGAGTGAGCCTGGAGCAGTGTGTGTGTGTGTTCACGAGTGAGCCTGGAGCAGTGTGTGTGTGTGTGTGTGTGTTCACGAGTGAGCCTGGAGCAGTGTGTGTGTGTGTGTGATGGACACTTGACTGTCCCATGAGGCCGCGGGAGAGGGTTTGTGAACGACAGGGAAGCGACGCAACTGTAGGTCACATGATCATGACAAGATGATGTATGAACTACACCCGGATTACACTGATACTATATAGAGCAGACTCTTTTACAGGCCGTCAAGCAATAACTTATTCGACACAAGTGCCTCCTCCAGTGAGTGTGCGATTTCAGACACAGCTCAAGTGTGAACATTTGAACTTTGCTGGAGGATTTACGGTGCATTTGTTTCTTAAAAAAATTAAATAAATTGGAAGCACGCAAGATTAATTACATTTATTCATTTATTTGCAGCTAATGTATAATCTGAGACGGCCTCTGTGATACATTGGGTATTATAACAGTCATACGATCATAATTGATAATTACATTTCTGTAATGCGGTTGAACTCTTTTAGTTATCAGAGAGATAAATGTTTTAAAGTTCATTACAAACGCAGAGCAATAGAAGTGTCTGAGACGAGGCCGGTGCCAAAGAACGCTTTACTGTACAAGGGTTCTAGGGGAGAAAATAAAAAGCTCAACAATTGCTACAAATATATATATATATATATATATATACATATATATATATATTCTACTTTGATTGCAATGTCATTGTTTTAGTAGTAAATTGTGCATAAGATGAGAGTGTGATTAAAATCATCATTAAATCATTAAAAAAAATGATTTCTGGTCATTGACAAACATATAAAAGCACTATTAATTACTGAATCCTTGACTTTTGACCAAGGCTTTGCTGTGTTTAATGTCTCTGGGCAGCAGAGCATCAGATTCACTCCCAGAAAACATGTTTCATGCTAATAAATACAAACACAATAGTGTGTTGTTAGTTCATATTGCAACTAATCTGAACATATAGAACTTTTTAATTTAAAAAATGTACTAATGCGTGACGATATTGTAAAGTATTTCCCATTTGACTTTATTATGTGAATATTATTTCCTTCTTGTTGTTGCAAATACAGACAGAGGATAGGCATTTAATGTCAAATATATGTATTTAATCATATGTCAATCAAACTTTATGATCTGAACTGTGGACAAACAAGCTTATATGGTACAGTATAGCTTACAATGCTTTCTTTAAACTATAACATGTTGATCTCTATAATGCACCTTTTTGCCACACACAATGTAGAGCATACAATAATAAAATAAATAAATAAATGTATAAGTAAATGTAATTTTTGTTTTGTAATAAATTAGTTGGACATCTCAGTAATAAATGGCTGGTAGGCTAATATTGGCAAAAGCCCACCGGTGTATTTGGTAGGTTAAGATGACAGGGACCGTTTAAAGTGCCTCTAGTACAACATTAGCTCCACATATTTGGATAATTTGCATTATTAAGACAAAATTAAAAATTAATTGTTGGATCCTTAAAACCTCAAACGTGTCATTGAATCAAAGCATGTGATCGAACTCTCTCTCCAGCCGGCAAGCAAACGTGGCAATAAATACAAAACATTCAGTGACATCATTGCAATTACAAACAATTTTGAAAAAAGTAATCAGCTGACCACAGAAAAAATATTCTATACAATAAAGTATGATAACAAATTCAAGCTTCAGTAATGAAATTAAAGATGTGCGTAGATTCAGTATTTTAATAATGAATGATCTTTACAACAGAACTGAATGAACAACAGCTGAGATGGATTATTTTCTGTTATCTCTGTAAAGCTGCTTTGAAACGATCTGTAGTGTATAAAGCGCTATATAAAAAAATATTAGGTTACACTTTACTTGAAGGGGTGTGCATAAGACTGACATGACACCTTCATAATCATGACATGATGACACATGTTTTATGCATGTTTATGACAACTGTCATTAAGTGTCATTCGCTCATGACAACTTGACATAAAACAATACATCATAACCTGTCAGTGTCTTTGACAACTTGACATTATCAAGACAACATAAATTGTCATAAACATGACATAGCAGATTAATTATCAGATTTAGGAAAGCACTTAGCTTTATGGATTAACATTACATTAAACTGTCAGGCGGCTGGTTTTGACATTGGCTGTCATTAGGCCATTATAACTGTCATGAATATGTTTCTTGACCTCGACTACAGTGGTACACATTGAAAATGTCATTAAAATGTTATAATGGCCTCATGACAGCCAATGTCAAAACCAACCACCTGACGGTTTTATGTAATGTTAACCCATAAAGCTAAGTGGTTTCTTAAGTCTGATAATTAATCTGCTATGTCATGTTTATGACAATTTATGTTGTCTTGTAATGTCAAGTTGACATAACAAAGACATCTCAAACAATATCATATTTGCATTAAAAATTTCATAATTGAGCGAATGACACTTAATAATGACAGTTGTCATAAACATGCATAAAACATGTGTCATCATGTCATGATTATGAAGGTGTCATGTCAGTCTTATGCACACCCCTTCAAGTAAAGTGTTACCTCATATTCTTATAACTCTCTGTATTCTCTGTCATGTCAAGAGCTCCATCGTGAACCACGTATTGATGCCAGTCACAGTCAGGCACGTCTGCTGAAAGTAAAGGCCGTTAGTTAAGGGTTTAAGGGTACCAACCCGATGCATTGACAGAGAAATATGTATTTGATAAGAAGAAACTGAGCCAGAGAGTGAAGGAGGAGTGGCAGATGATGAGCGGAGTAGCAGAAACTAGAGAGCTTCAGGGACTGTGACACCATAAAGACACAGACTGGTCAAATGTTTAGACTGTTATGTTAAGTTATTGTTCAATGGGTGCTGAAAAATGTTATTTTAAAACTGTAAATCATATCTGGCCTGTTTGATCAGCAGCTAAAAATGAATCAAAGCTGTTTAAGAAATCTGAAGCTTTTACATTGAAACAATCATGGGCTTATTTGGCTCAGTTAGGTTTCACACGTTTCTTACAAGCCCACTTTACATTATTTGACTCAATACACAACATGGTGTTTAGATGAGAGATTCATATTTGATTTAATACTCTTCGAGTATCTATAACCGTATCCGTCTCGTACAGTCTCTGGCTGAGCTGATTAACATTGGAAAGCATGCAGACGACCTTCAAGACACTGTTGGTGTTTGTTTACAGTGTAATATTAAGTTGTAGAGGACTGCTTTTTTAAATCAGTTATTCAAATGAGGCTTTTTGCTTTTGCCCACTGCTACACGTGTATATTAAGAGTTATGAAGCACTGATCATGAGTGCACTATAATTCATCAGTGTTTGAGCGGTCTCACACAACCATAGCATTAATACGTCAATACTATACTCCATTTCTCATATAAATGCTCTACCTGTAAGTTTGAATCCTATCAAAGTGTTAAGAGACATTTAGTTTAGAGATGCTTGTTTTTGTGTGTGTGTGTGTGTATGTAATATGAAGTGTGTGAACTAAAACGGTTTCTTTTGTTGTCCACAGGGTCCATAGATCATCATTTTCAAGGTAACTGTTCTGCCGCTGAATATATCTTATACTAAGGTAAGCTGTTGGCTTTATTTAATATTAACCCTTTATGCTACGCTGTTTATGGAGATCGATTTGCTTAACCCTCTGGGGACCAAGAACGCACCCGTGCGTTTTGGCAGATTTTTTTCACATAGCAGAAAAATAGACTTAAACTACTCCATCATTTCTGGTCATACAGAGTTATGAAACATATTTAAAAAAAACTGTTAAATGTCTACTTTTTTATGTGCCCACCTACAATCGAAATAAAATATTGTGCTTTTGTAAAATAAAGAAAATAAACAGGGTGTGCGTTCTGCCTCTCCTTGTCCGTGAACTTTTTTTCTGGAGCACGTCACTAAACTTAAACAAAACTCAGCTAATACTATTCACCCAGACATGAGCAATATATGTTTATGATCATTTAAGTTTGTACTTTTAAATTATCTAATTTAAAACTAAAATAAATATTCTCTGTTTATGTAATCTATATAAAAAGAGAGAGGTGTCAGCCGTTCTCATTATCGTTCTCGCATCTCATTATTCTGCTAATGTGACACGCCCACGGAGAGCGTGCGCTATTCAAACGCTAATGATCTGAAGCAACACATTGAGACGTGTAAACGCCCACATATCAACTCGGTAATCACACTATATTTAGTCAGATTAATGTACTGTCGTCTTGCGCGGCTGTGAGGAATAATCCTGGGACATTTACCTACCTCAGAACAAGTGCTGGTTTATTTTCACTTCGAGGAGCGAGCTGGGCTCAGTGTTTTTATTTTTGTGCTTTGTTCTAATCGCGATATATAATAATGTTTAGTGTCTGTAAACGCAAAAATAGCCTACTGTTTAAATTTGAATCATGTTTCTGTGTGTGTGTGTGTGTGTGTGTGTGACTAGTTTCGGATAGATTATAAAGTTTTAACTCTAAAATAGACTTCAAATAAGCTTTTGTTAGCAGTTTCTGCTCATATGTTAAATATATAGTATGTTTTGTCAATAAACTAATCAATTAAGAATAGTGTTTGTTCCAATGCAAGCTATATCAAAATAATGAATCCTTAACTTTGAAATATGTATGATAAAATGTATTGGCCTACTAAGACATTTATGGAAAAATACTATTTTCTTTTCTAGATGTTTCCAACTCTAACTTTGAACCAATTCTGTAGAATGGCCCATATAACCTATTTGAACAGGATTTGTTTCCAGGTATGACTAAAAATATGCTTTTGACTTTCATTTATATTTTGATTTTATATATATATATATATATATATATATATATATATATATATATATATATATATATATATATATATATATATATATATGTATGTGTGTGTGTATTGTCCTTGCATTCTTTCTTGTGTGACACACCTGAATGAAAGGCTCATTAATATGCGGGTCTTTGTCTTCTCAACCACCTAATTATTCACAATGTGGTTGGGCCGTTCACGCCCTTTCCCATATTGCCTTGGCTAACAAAATAATGTGTTTCACAATTTAAAAGAATCTATTGTGTTATGTGAATGATTAGAAAGGATGATTTTCAGATCATTTTGAAGCAAAAACTCTAGGCCACAACTTCCATTAGTCAATAGTCTTGTGGACACATATTTAGTATGTGTTTTGTGGCTTTATTTCAGAAACTTTCATTTTTAGTTTTTTCAATAACCATGCATAAACAATATTCTCTCAAAAATACAAACATGTACATACATGTTGCTCACATATTATGGTAGCCCTGTTTGTGCTAAATAGAGTGTAATTACACCTGTGCCATTAATATGTTTATAAGCAACTGAAAAAGCACAAATGTCAGGGCATGTCAAAACATCTCAAGGACCCCAAAACACCTTGGTCCCCAGAGGGTTAAACTACTTGCACATACAGTGGCCACAAAAAGTGCTTGGACAATTGTGTCACACCCGTTTGAATGTCACCGCATTACGATATCAGGTGAAGGCATGAGCACACGAGGGTCCCTGTAGAGAAAGCCTTTTTTATTCACAACGTCAAAGCGATTTATACATGATGATCTCTGTGTGAAGGAAATATACAAAATACTAAACAATAACCAAATAATGAGTCCATATAATCCAGAACTATTATGAAAAACATTTCAGAATCATTTTCAGTTGTAAAAAAACCCAAAAAACATTACATTGTGAATTATGACAAATTGGATACAATGCATCAGCAAAAACTGTGAGGAAAAATAAATATTACATTTGTTTAGAGCTTTCATTTATACAAATAACTACAGTCAAGCTGGATGCCAAACAGGCCCTCACAGAGAGGCCTGTTTTTTTTTTTGTCCACAAAGCTTATTTTATTTCATTTTGATAATATTTTTTATATTTTTAATGCAAATGTTTTTTGGAGATTTTTATTTTTTTATTTTTTATTTTCATTTACCTTTAAACGTACAGTATGTAATTTTTGGCCACCAGGGCTCGCTAATCTCTTACAATAACAAAGGCGTATATCGATGACGCAAAGCATCAAGTGGAATTATGGATCTTGTCGTCAAGCTGATGGATCTTTTATGGATGAGTGAATACAGTGATGTTTTTAACATGACTGTGGTGTGAAGCAGGGCGTGATTGCTAATGAGAGACAGATATCAGCGCCACACGCAACGCGAGTCCCGCGGATATAAAGGAATAAGGACATTTCATTCTACCGAACTACACGCAAGTGCTGAATTAATAAGTTACCCACAGGTCAGTTTATTAGACGAATGAAACTTGAGGTAACACAGCGCTGTTTTACTCGCTCTAATAGTTACAATATCACACTAAAGCTAGGTAGTAAGCTAGATCAACATTAGAATAACATACAGATCATATTCTAACATTTCATCATATTGAACTAAATAACATTGATTAGCTTTATGTACATTTGCTCACCTGTCTAATAAAGTACATGCAACACTCACGTCTCTGTCAAGTCGAAGTTAGTCGCGGACGTGGAGCTCTCGGCATCTCGAAAGATGTTGATCTTCGTTTTAGTCCACTTTTTGTCTCAAAGTCTGCTTGCCATGGTCCAAAATGTTTGAACAAAACAACAACAGCGTGAGCGTCCTGCTAAGTATAACCCAGTTGTCCACGTCTGTCGCCATCGTTACTATGGCAGTACGAGCGGTAACCAAGGGTAACGCTGATATGCCGCCATTGACTGGCGACTCCCCACCCCTGCTGACACGTCCCGTTTCCTTGGTTAAAATCGCAATTTTCTCACAATTTACAAATAGTTGGAAACATTGGGGATATTGTAAGTAATCAACTAAACAAAATATATAACATTGGCCTAGAGGTTTTTGGATATTTTACTGCAAAAATCCTACATATTGTACCTTTAAATTACTAGATTTGACCAATAAATAAATAGTCATTTAAGCACATTCCTCACATTCTTTCAACTTAAATTCAAAATAACTCACAATTTAATGCATAACCCTTTTAATTCAGCTCAAAATATCTTACATTGGGAGTCTTTGGCGACCTCTTGTGGAAAATAAATAATTAAACATGATATTTCATGACTCTAGATGGCCTTATAGCTCTATATGAGCTGTTCCTGTGGGTCCTAAAGTCCGTTTTTCTTCAGTATGCATTCAGATACACATCTAGACATAAAATCTTTTTTTAGTAAAGTTTTAGCATTTTTAGGTTTTTCTATGTGTACTGAAGCATTCCTCGCTTTCACTCATTCCTATGGGGTCAAATTGCGGGTTTTTTGTGTGTGTGTATTCGTGGTTCAAGTGCAACTATAGTCCTGGGGCCTGTACCATGATGGTAGTTGAACAAACTCCGGGTTACAGGATTAGTTTAGAGCTGACAAAACCAAATCTATCCAACCCGGCATTGTTGGTACCATGATGCTGATCATCACCTTTCTCTGTCAACTCAGGCTTTATACTGAGTTTAGGAGATTAGGTGTGACATCAGCAGCGAACAGCCTATCACATGCTGAGAACGAGTGAAACTGAGATTCACATCTCTCTTCTGCAGAAAATTACGAGATTTAAACAAATATTAGGAATTTAAACAGATTTACACAGCAAGAACAAAATAGCTGTCTATGAAAGAGGACAACAAAAAGTCTTGCTATATCAGTGCAAGTAAAAGTTGTGAAGTTCATTTATACAGTTGATAAAGGTATAGAGAGAATTTAACTTTTGAGCTAAATCTATTAATTCTAAAGCATATTTATATTACCTTTTATATATTTATTCCTTTAAACCGACCGTACAAATAATTGATAAATTAAAATTGTATGTGTGATCGATTAATAATTACATAAATATCTAAATCATACAAAATTATTATTCTAAATAAGTGTTACTAAAAGCCAGATGATTTTGTCTTTAGAAATCATTTGCTATGTAGTGACCTTTTAATGTGGAGTAGAAACAGGCAGAGTGACGTCATCCTTTGCTCACAGCTGATTGGTCCAAGTTCGGCTTGAGATCTCTTACCTGGAGCATCCCCTGCCCCGGACCAGGCTAGCTGTGGAGCGTGAGTTACGGTGCGTCTCACAGGTGTCGCTCATTATCACTCACGCCACCGGCCTCACGCCACTCTCACGTCCCTCGACCTCGTCCTGCTCGCCACAGCGATGAACACTGCTAAAAGCCAAACCACGTTCATGTTGCCTAAAACCCAGGGTTGGCGCAAACTGACCCGAGGGAAGGATGAGTTAATAATGATGTGACACTTCTATATTAGGGCTAAGAAAAATACACTATTTTAGTAATACTTTGTTTTACAAATGTGAAGGTGGATAAAGCATTGTAAAATAAGTAAAGGTATGATTTAAGTGATTTCAGGCCCTAGTTGAAGTTTTGTCTTTTGTATGTGGGAGTTTTATGTTTGGTGTAGAAACATCCTGTATTTGGCAAAATGGATAGGAGGGCACCTTATAAGAGGAAGCCATTTGGGGAGAGGAAAGAAAATATACCTGTTTTGAACCAAAGATATGGGTGCTTTTTTAGCCTTCTCCTTGGGGGACATTTATGGATTGATGACCCATCGAGGTTAAAGAGAAGACTTGGGTTGTTTTTGGTATTTTTGCCTGTGCATCACATTTGGAGGATTATTATCGTTTTTGCTGGATATTTGTGGTTCATTTCTGGGGCGCAAGGACTAAGAATTCATAAATCCGGACAATACTCCTCACACATGGACTATTTGATCAAGGACTTTGGGATAAGTGTTATTTTTCTTGATTTGATTGCTGTGTTATCAATATACTTTGTTGGGTAATCTGTTTATGCCTTTCTTTTTCTGATTTCAAGCATCAGAGCAATTTTATAATTATAAAAATATATAAACAAGATTTAAAATGTCATTTTATAAAAATAACAATGATAGAAAGCTTTTCTTTTATGTCATAAGAACATGAATTTAATGCTCATCTTCATAAGAACAAATGCTTATGAAGTTAGAGGTTTCCAGGTCCACTTGAAGGCAGCATCATTTGTTTACAGATAATATTCGATCGAATGCAGTGACATCCACACTGGAAGTGGGATTTAGGTGTCCAAGAAATTTTTTGGGCTATCACTGGATGTGTCAGGCCATGTTTTAAAAACACAAATTGGACTAAGAATTGCTCTGTCATTCTCATTTTCTCTCTCTTCTTCCTCAGATGCCATTTTCCCCTGTGCTGTTCCTGCTGCTCACCGGGCTGGATGTGAGTTGGTCTCAGGACGAGAAGCCGACGGTCCCGTTTGGCTGTGGGTTTGGTCTCCAGCGCCCCTACACTCTCCTGTGTGACCTGGATGCCGTGTGGGGCGTAGTGGTGGAGGTGGTGGCGGCGGCCGGTGTGTTCGCTGCTGTTTTACTGCTGCTGGTGTTACTGTGTCGCCTGCACTCAGTGACCGAGGCCCCGAAGCGGAGTGGCATTGGCCCTGTTCTCCTCCTGCTGATCGGCATCATCGGGCTGTTTGGGCTTAGCTTCGCGTACCTTATTGAGCACAACGAGAGCATTTGTTTGGTGCGCCGTGCCCTCTGGGGGGTGTTCTTCTCTCTGTGCTTTGCTTGCATGTTGGCACAGGGCGTCAGGCTGCGCAGGCTAGCTCGCGAGTCTCGTAGCCCAGGCGGCTGTGCCCTCGTCGGACTAGCATTAGGGTTGGCGGCGGTGCAGGGTATTATTGCTGCAGAGTGGCTCCTGCTAACCGTGATTCGGGAGGGTAACCCGGCTTGCCAGTATCAGCCTCTGGACTTTGCGCTTGCGTGTGCATATGTGCTAGCGCTCCTGCTAGCAGCCCTGTTAACCACAACATTAGCGCTGTGTGGGAAGGCACGACCGTGGCACTGTAATGTTGTGTGGCTTCTGGTCTCCTGCTTGCTGTCCATTCTCTTGTGGGTGGCTTGGGTTGGTTTCTACGTGTATGGAAACACAGTGCTTGGGAAGTCTCCAGACTGGGATGATCCGGCGTTAGCTGTAGCGCTGGTAGCTCAGGGTTGGCTGTTGTTGCTGTGTCACGCTGCTCCTGAAGCCCATGCATGTCTTCGAGGACCAGCTCAGCCTTCTGCTCCAGACTATTTCGACACGTCCCAGAATTCCTCACGCATGAGAGAGGCCAGCCTTGATGAGGACATCCCACTTTCACACAGGCAGTTTGTGGAGAACCAGGGATATGCGTTTGATGAAAATACTGCAGGTACAACTAGGCCCAGAGATGAATAGAACACTTAATATGCATTATATAGATCCAAACATCCATCCTTTACTTTTGTAGGTTTGAGGAGTGGCAGTCATCATAATGGCAACACAGGGGCCAGACCCAGTGCGCCTTTCAGAAGTAACGTCTACCAACCGACTGAGATGACCATGATACTGAACGGAGGAGCAGTGAGTATTTCACTTTATATGTTTTATAAATAGGCCTGGAGAACCCTTACTCCCAAATTCCTTACTACATCTGACAAGTGTGAGACAAGCTACTGACTGACTCGAGCTTGAGACAGGCCCTGTCAGAAACGGCATTTTGTTTTGCTGATACGTGGCTATACTTTGCACATGAAGAAGTGGATTTTAAATGTTGGCAGAGAAAAACCAACGTCTGTATACAATCACAACATGCTTTCCATCCTTGACTCTGGAACAATCTAACTTTGAGTTTATCTTTACTCCATATCTAAGAATCAAGATTGATCCCTTTTTGTAATTTAATTTTTAATAAACAGGAGCCATTATTTTTAAAGAATGTCACTAAACAATTCCCAAATAAGGTTTTTGGTTCAATAATAAATAAAAAAAATTCAGAATGAATTTGTAGGAAATTAGTAGTAGTCCAATTTTTTATATCAGCTATGCATTCCGTAAATTTTTGGAATTGGTAGGTTTCGTCAGGGCGTGAAGAAATATAGAGCTGCGTATCATCAGCATAACAGTGAAAACTAATGCCATGATATGATATCTCCCTTGGGAGATATCATTAGGAATAATGATATCTCCCAAGGGTAGCGTGTACAGAGTGAACAGCAACGGTCCTAGACCTGAGCCTTGTGGTACAGCATACTGAACTTGTGATCGATATCGCATCTCTTCGTTTACTACTACAAACTGATAACAGTCAGATAAGTATGATTTAAACCATGCTAATGCAATTTCACTAATGCCAACATTAGTGATTCTAGTATCTTTCGAGTCTAGGGCATATCAATAACTAGGGCATATTCAGCAGGATTCTCAGTGGGTGTTTCACTGAGTGGGGAGAACCGGTTTAATGTTGTAATCGGAACGGAAGAGCGGTGTTTTGTCCCGTGACTACAGCGTCTCACGGTCACCCAATTGCCCTGCTGCACGGGTTCTACAGCCGGAACCGAACAATGTACAGAGTTCACTAAGCTAGTCGCATCCAAAGCAGTATCTAAAGCCTTGCACTCTTACTATCCTCGATTAAAGTTTGGATGATTGTCTCTAGTTCTAAAATCTTCTCCTGCAGTCAGCCTGACTAATTCCCTGCATTGTCAGCATTTGTCGCTGACAGAGAAGTATGAAGGTAAATCAGTAGCTAAACTCGAGAGCACGTAGATGTGAATTTGAGAACTTGTACAATAAATATTCGTACGTGTACGCGAACATTTACACTCACAGCTCCGATGTGAAAACCTGTAAAATAAAAATCTGAACTTGAACGCTGAGATTTGCACTCGCAGACTATAGTCACAAACCTGTATTCTGAATCTGAAGCTGCAGACAAGCAGTCACAAATGTGTAAAATGCCATTCACAGAAATACAACGACAGACACAAACTTGTAAAATATATTTGCACTTCTTCTAACATTCAAATTCGCAGTACAACCTCAAATTGGCACTTGCAACTTCTCAAATCTGTCACTGCAAGTTCAAATTTCGCGCCTTGACTTTTGCTACACTTTTCGCGATATATGAGGTGCAAAACTGATTTGTGCACTTGCAACTCAGTGGCGGTGAGAGCGGAAGGGGGGCGGGAGCGGGGGTGTTCGAAGGAGCCGTTTTATTGGTTGGCGCCTAGCCAATGAAATGGAACTTCTATTGTACGCGATGATGTCACGAAACCCGGCTCCTCGTGGATGTTCTGAAACGCTAACATGGCTTAATGCATTACACTAATTTAAAAGACATAAATGATATTATCAAACTTAGTGATATTAACACCATACTAATAATGCATACTACAGAAAAGCAGATGAGCACAGAATATGACGAAAGAAAGCAAATTTGTGTTCAGTGGAAATAAACCAGCTGCCTGTGTTTTATTAATAATAACAAATTGTGTTTTATTTTTTATTTTTATAACTGTTGGTCCATTAAGCCTCATTAAGCGTTTTCTTGGTTTTCTATGAGAGGAAAATGCTTAACGTACAATTAAACGAGTTGTGTTCATATTCTGCTCAATTGCTTTTCTGTATGCTTTATTTATGGTGTTTCCTGAGTTTGGTCTTTTAATACCACTGTCTTAAGTTAACGTGTTGCGTTCATATTCTGTGCTCATCTGCTTTTTTGTAGTATGCATTATTGTGTTTGCTAAGTTTGATAATATCATTTATGTCTTTTAAATTAGTGTAATGCATTAAGCCATGTTAGCGTTTCAGAACATCCACGAGGAGCCGGGTTTCGTGACATCATCGCGTACAATAGAAGTCCCATTTCATTGGCTAGGCGCCAACCAATAAAACGGCTCCTTTGAACACCCCCGCTCCCGCCCCCCTTCTGCTCTCACCGCCACTGAGTTGCAAGTGCACAAATCAGTTTTGCACCTCATATATCGCGAAAAGAGTAGCAAAAGTCAAGGCGCGAAATTTGAACTTGCAGTGACAGATTTGAGAAGTTGCAAGTGCCAATTTGAGGTTGTACTGCGAATTTGAATGTTAGAAGAAGTGCAAATATATTTTACAAGTTTGTGTCTGTCGTTGTATTTCTGTGAATGGCATTTTACACATTTGTGACTGCTTGTCTGCAGCTTCAGATTCAGAATACAGGTTTGTGACTATAGTCTGCGAGTGCAAATCTCAGCGTTCAAGTTCAGATTTTTATTTTACAGGTTTTCACATCGGAGCTGTGAGTGTAAATGTTCGCGTACACGTACGAATATTTATTGTACAAGTTCTCAAATTCACATCTACGTGCTCTCGAGTTTAGCTACCGATTTACCTTCATAGAGAAGATTATACTATACATGTGACACGAAGTGCAAGTGAAAACTATCAGGAGTAGATGACATTACTCACCGTGTTTGGAGTGGGAAAAAAAGAGATGGATTCAATTTCAACAGCATTGAACATGTAGTGTTGGGGAATCCAGGAGCACCAGGAGTTCCAGACTAGATGAGTTCCAGGCATCACCTGTATTCCTGTATTCTACTATGCTCATCTATAAAATTTACACCACTGTATTAAAACCTTGATATTGTCTTGATGGCTTTTAACTATTTGGAAGGGAGGACTGAATGCCTCGCAAAAAAAATTCACATTTACTTTTTTAATAAAAAAAACAAACATGGACAGATAGTTTAAAATATTTTCCATGCATTTTCCATGTGTATAGAGAGAAAAGGGAGGGGGTGGAAGAAGTCATGAATCTCGCCTTACTGCTTGCGTAATATTTAGGGATGGCCCGATACCGATACTGGCATCGGGGATCGGGACGATACTGTCCTCATATACTCGTACTCGTACTCATAAAAATTCGCCGATACCACGCACCGATACCACGTACATTTTGCAAAACGAAACTGGCCGCCGCGAGAGCTTTGTCGAGGTGAACTGAGGCATAGGAAAGTAGCCTATAATGTCGGCGGTTAGGGCTCATTTCAAGATAAGGGATGATGACAACAGCAAGGCAGACTGTGAGTTATGTTCAGCTAAGGTGTCGAGAGGAGGGAAAGAAAGTACATCGTTTAACACCAGCAATCTAATTAAACATCTGAAGACGCATCATAGATCTGATGGCCGAGCGTGCGCGCGGGCGATAATGCACTCACTCTGTGTGTGCGGGTGCGGGAGAATAAAACGATTCGCGGGACTCCCGCAAACTAGAAATATCTATGAATAAAACATAAAAACTAATAGATTTTTATTCATCTCTTGCAGAAAAGCAACAAGAACAACTACAACAAAATAGAAACGATTTACAGGCCAGAGTTTCTATTCATAACATGGTTACAGCGTTGAGCGATGTAGCCAATCACAGACATATGTGTTGATTTCTTGAACGCAATGGCCAATCAGAAGCATTTAAGATAGACTCCCCTCACTGCTCAAAACGGACTTTTTTGTTCAGTGCTGAATTCTGTATGCTGGCAAATCCTCTAATTATAACAAACAAAGTGTGGATATTATGAAAGATTGATTGTGCAGTCAGCTTCATTGATAATAACAGAGATGTGTGAGATCGCGATGAACTGTCAGCTTTTAGGATTTATTAAGGGTGTGCACTTTGCGTGCATTCAGTCATGCCCATGCACGCAGTAGCCTGCTTGCTTTTATGTTAAATTAACAGTGGTTTGTGTGTTAATACATTTATTATTTTACAATTTTTTTTTTTTTTTTTAGACTTGTTAAAACAAGCAGAGAAGAAAATAAAAACAGTCTTCTGACCTGTGTTCTAAAATAGTCGTCTTCTTTTCTGGGAGCCTATTACTTTTGCGGTAGAAATATCGGTATCGGTACTCGGTATCGGCAAGTACACAAATGTAAATACTCGTACTCGTATCGGTTTGAAAAAAAATGGTATCGGGCCATCCCTAGTAATATTTACATATGCCATATAATAATATGTGTAACTGCTAAGAAGAGCTGTGCATGTGTTTAACGTTTAACCTGCCTGCGATTTGATTTCTCTTATTGAAAATGAACTAGAGACTTGCACTTCCCGTATCCCGTATGAAACTGCCTTTATATTGAAGTGTTACTACCGGCCCAATTTATGAGCGCCCCCCTGGGAATTCTCCCAACTCTCTCGATGGCTACACTGGACCCGCTTGAGATTATGAGGGTTACAATGTATTGGGCACTGCTTATCAGTCTCGGTGGTGGCTCTCTGGAGACTAGTTGCATGGTAAGGGTTAAAGGAGTGCGTCACATTCTTTTTATAGACTGAGACAGGACTGCGAACATAGATGTAGCTGTCTTTACACCTCTTTTTTCTACCAGGGATTATGGAGAAGAAAAGTTGAAGCTTGAGACTTTACACACTCTTGTTTCGGCACACACAAACTCAACAAAGAAGAAAAATGGTGAGAAACTGGGAAACTTCAGATACAGAGACCTCCAGACAAAGGAACTGCTTTGCTCTCTCTCGTATTTAATTATGAGGTTTAATTAACCTCCTGCTCAGAAGGATTAAAAGGTTTTCTCTGGGACAAAAGGAGAATTCTGAAAAAAAAGAAGCTAACTGAAACAAAAATAAAGAACTGGCAAGAGTTCCAAGTCCTGAAACTAGTTTGGAGTTTGGAAACAGCAACAACGACAAACGTATGTTGCACCCGCAAGCAAACCTTCTCTTCAAGGGTCCTCCATCTACGAAATTCAGATTGTCAGGACCTTCTGCACAGACTTCAGAACTTCCACTTCCAAGAAACCTTCATCTGTGTGGAAATCTTGTCTGGAAATTATCTAGTTTGGACTGGAACTCATCTAGTCTGGAACTCACCTTGTCTGGAACTCATCTTGTCTGGAGCTCATCTAGTCTGGAACTCATCTATTCTGAAACCCATCTATTCTGGAACTCATCTAGTCTGGAACTCATCTATTCTGGAACCCATCTATTCTGGAACTCATCTAGTCTGGAACTCATCTATTCTGGAACCCATCTATTCTGGAACTCATCTAGTCTGGAACTCATCTATTCTGGATCTCATCTAGTCTGGAACTCACCTTGTCTGGAACTCATCTAGTCTGGAACTCATCTAGTCTGGAACTCATCTAGTCTGGAACCCCTGGTGCTCCTGCATTCCCCTGCACTTCATGTTCAATGCTGTTAAAATGGACTCCAACTTTTTTCTCCCACTGCAGTGCGGCCCAGCGCAACAGTTGCCATCCTCGGACTTATCACTTTACTACTGTATGTAGATCATAAATATCACTTAATCACAAGCTCTTCTACATGATCCTTCCAACCTGGCTTAGCATTGCACACTTTTGTCCTAGGTTTATATAGAGGCCAGCTCGAAATACAGAGAGACTCCACAATAGCTTCATACAGGGAACATAAATCCTTACAGTGCTGTACATTCTTACAGTTCATATCCCGACAAAATAAGGCATCTTTTGGGACCTTTATATTACCCAGAAAAGCATCAGAATGATAGACATAATTATTGATATTTTTCTTAGAACATTTTGACCAATTTATTTTCCCTACATCATTGCCATTATCCACAGGCAACAACACCGGTAAATTGTCCGTGTTCAACACCATGAGAAAGGGTATATGGTCCGTAGTTGCCAGATCATAATCAATCTTCATCATATCGATGGAGTCATGGGCATCCACTGTACAGAGACAGTGGTCTAGCCTGGAAGTAGAGTGCCAGGCCTCGCTGATATAAGTATAACTATCATTTGGCAATAGTACCTTACTAGATAAAATCAATCCACTGTCTGTACAAAACTGCATTAAATGATTACCGAATGAAGAGTTGGCATCAGTTACATCAGCATTCACGTCACCTAAAACATAGATACAGGTAGAAGAATTGTCCTGAAAAAAGACATGATAAATGCCAATCTACTGATGTACTCCTCCTCATTTTGTATGCACTCATATGGCGTATAGACATTCAAAATTATCTTCTTATCATTACAACACAGCTCAATCCCAATAGCCCAGTCAACTTCCAATCTTATAACATTAACCAACTGGTCATATTTTTTATTTCACATCGTGGCTACCCCCCCTGGAATTCTCCCTCTGACAACTTTAGCACTTAGGTCAGTTGTTAATTCACCCGCCCCCTGAAAGCCTTTATGCATAGTATTTAGTCCTTCCTGGTCTTGTTTAGCCAGAAACGTCTCCTGGACACACAAAATGTCACATCTCTCCATCAATTTGTCCACAATAACACAGGCGTGATTTATCAGTTTCACTGTGGCCAACACGCAGTCCACGTGCATTATAAGACACGACACAGATGTTCATATAGATTAATTCATTACATAGCAGCTACTATGCAGACTGGCTCCTGTGTGGAGCTGCAGGTGTACCATGGCAATCCAGTTCACCCCCCCGCTCATTACCAAAGACCTTGGGGCCACGGGCCTCATAATAGTGGCGAACATAAGTCCCGTCAGGCCAAAGTTTTGGATCATACATATCAGCAACATTGTTACATTCAGCGGTGATGTGAAATAAGCCGTACCTGCTGCAGGCCGTCTCGATTCAGATAAGTATCCACGTACCGTGTCTGCATCCAGAGTGGGAGAAAACCTAGTGGCAAACACATTCACCAGCTTTGTTTTCACCACTCCAATGTTGCTCTTTTGTACCGATTATTCCCACATTCCTCTGCTCATGTTTAAAGTGACCTTGCTTGTTGTGGGGTTTCCGTGGCACAAATACTTTTAAGGGACCCCGACTTTTTGCGACCTCCTTTCACAACAACGCTCCACTGTGAGGACTTTAGTTGTGATCTTGGCGATGTTACTGCTACAACCAGGAGCTCCTGTTGTTGAGCGGAGCCCACCAGCCCCTTAATCCCCTCACGTGAGGTGCTGGCGATTTCGGTGTCCAGACCCAGGAGACGAAACTTCCCAGCGGGAGACATTGTTGCCGCCTCCTGTCGATCAGGGCCTGCTAGCCCCAGCACCCCCTCTCGTGCGATGCCAGCAGTCCCAGGGTCGAAGTCCGATGTGCGTTGCGTCTCCACCGCTGTCACTCGGTGATACCTGGTCGCAACAATTGCCCCCAAATTCCCACTTACTTCTGCCTGTATTTCCAATGCCCTCCTCAGGCCAGAGACTTCTTGGCTCAGCTGCTCCACTCGGCTAAGCAACGGCGAGGCATCCATATTGCTAAACCCGACAGGTGGCAGTTCATCCAAGTGATGTGAAACAAACGCGGAATATTCTCACCACACTCATTTAGAACCTTCAGACAGGCCTTGATATTATTCACGTCCTTTTGTGGGCCTTTGTGTCCGATACAGCGTAGCGTGGTATTCGGGCACACATCAAACAAAAGCCGCTTGGACTCCTCAATCCACTCAGATGAAAAGTTATTAGTTGCCAACAAAACAATTTCATCATGGCTTAGTGTCTTCATTTTAACCATAATAAAGTTTAACAGTTCATCCTCCACTATCACCTTCCCATTATCCGTTTTGTAGATTGCAGGTTTTGTACGGGGGCAAGCCGAGCCTCCACCAGCAGCATCCACCACTGCAGCCACCATTTTCCAAAAACATAGAAAGACAGAAGTCCCTATAGCAAAACATCTTACCACTCCATCTAAACAAGATTTATTATCTTGTGAAAACAATTTCATAAAAGGCGTTCCAAAGGGAGAAAATCCACACAAGAGGGATTGGAGTCATTTCATGTGCTGACAGATTGTGTGTTCTGTCTAATGCCTGCGCACATATAAATTCAAACATGCATACCTATAGACTAAAAACGTAATACACATGTGCACGCTGTCAGCGTTTTTGAAGTTTGCACGAGATTACCTTTTTTTTCAAATAAATCCGAGGCTTGCACCTTGGAACCTATTTCAAGGTTTGCGTTCTCGAGCCACCAGGCACTGTTTTGTGCAAATGAGCCGGAGCGCGTTAAGGGTTTTCTGTTGGAACGTTGTCATGTTAGCGGCCCTAAGTTAATAACTAATGATCTTTGCAACGGAAGTGAATCGGTCAAAACTAACTTTAGCTGGACAATAACTTTATTCTAGAGCTGCTGTAAAGCCAAACAATCTACGTTACTTTAATTTCCTATTATCACTGTAAAGCTGCTTTGAAACAATCTATATTGTTAAAAGCGCTATATAAATGAAGGTGACTTGACTTGACTAATTGAGAGGTGTTTTTCCCACTTATGGAACACCACTCATCTAATGTAAATGTCTTGACTGTAAATATGCCTGCTTCTTAATGGTTTTTTTTTTTTTTTTTTCACAGGTTCCATCCGCCCCTCCCACATACACAGGAAGACAGCTTTGGTAAAGGAGGAGACTGGGAAAAGGGTGAATGGAAAAGTGGTGCAAGCTCCTGAACTGTAAGAAAAATCTCTGAAGTGAATACAGACTACAGTTAGGGACAACGTCAATAATCGCGGATGTTAAAACAGGACAACTCTTTGCATTATCAATAGTTGTGGTTATTTTGAGTTGGTGTACTGGGAAAAATATTCATGCAGTTTCTCTATTAAAAGCATTAACAGCTTTTAATTCCAACAGTATTTTAAAAGCAGCATTATCTCAAATGATTATGTATTTTGCTTTGGCTTCAGATTCACCCTGAAGTTATATCAGGCTCTGTATGTTACAGGTCTGTCTCTACTGCAGTAAAAGTTGGACATCTTATTCTATGATAACAGGATACAGTGCTTTGGTCTCTCTGGTCAAAGTTGTTATTTTCTAATGCGAGTTGTCTGTGTATGAATGAGTGGAAGCACTGAAGCAACATGCTGTGACAAATCTAAAGCTTTCTTCTGTGAACTAATGAGATCAAATCTCACTCAATTCTATATGAAATCTTAGCAACACCTTGTAAATGGGCTGTATTTTTAATTATCAAGGTTCTTGCATTTGCCATTGGAGTTGCGTACTATTTCAAATGTTTTGATTTCTGCTCTGTTTTACACAGTTATACGATTAACCTTCAGATACCTACTACTGCTGGACAGATACCAGCGGGAATAACTAAGTTGAGATGACAGAGCGAGGAAGTGAGGACATGTTAATATAGTTGTGTTAATATAGTTTTGGGAGTAGTAACTCAAAAAATGTCATCAATTACTCACCCTCATGTTGTTCCAAACCCGTAAGACCTTCATTCATCTTCGAAACGCAAATTAAGATATTTTTAATGAAATCTGAGAATGCTTAAATAATTCTTAAATTCAATCTGTTCATCATAAAAAATCGATCGAGTTTTTTCAGAAAATTTGGACTAAACCGCTCAATTCATATGGATTAGTTTTACAATCTCTTTAATGACTTTTTGAAGCGTCAAAAAAGATATTCATTTGTGTTCAGAAGATGAACAAAATTAGCCTGACGTCGTCATACTCAGTCTAGTCAGAATGTGAGTCTTATTCTGCTTTATTGGGCTGTGATTATGGGGTGTTTCAACCCAACCAGGAAAAAATGCCTCTGCACTCAATTGGATAGGTCGAATCCCGTAGGAAGGACGGCAAAAACATCTTTCCGATCGGCAAATGCCTTGATCGCGGTTCTCTGTTCCTCTTTTAAAATGAATGCGCTGTCTACATCTTCTATAACAGACGCGATTCTGATGCTGTAACTCTGCAACGCTTTGCCAAATTAGACACCAAACTTTTGATGTGTCATTAGCCCCTTTCACACATACAGTCTTTACTGGTAAATTACCGGTTAGAGATCATGTGTGAACAAGACCTTTTCAAAAATACCAGTCAATTGGTTCTGGTGACTTACCAGTAATGGAAGTTGTAACATTAGCAGTATATTACCGGTATTGTGCTCTGTGTGAATGCAGAATGAAGATTACTGGTATGATCATGTACGGAGTCAGAACGCGCTGACGTAAGAAGTCTGCTTTGGGCCAATCATAAAGTTCTTATGGAGATGACTTGATGACTCAGCACTGTTGACCGTAAGCTTTTATAGTTTTTTCTATGTAAATGTGCGCTAGGTGAACATCTTGAGCCACGTCTCGCAGCTTTTTCAACGTGTCGCACTCGAGACCCAGCCTTCTTTTCTATTCATCAGCGCTGTGGCTCTGCCGTTGGATACTATTATACGCGTCTCCTGTTTATAAGAGCAAAAGTGCATTCTGTTTGATCATCCCTTATGCCTGTCACTCAGACTTCAAAAAAATTGTCAAATTGAGAAGATAGTGAAACTTAAGTGCTTATGCTCATGCGGGTGAATAAAGACAACGGCACAGCTTTTAATGAGCAAATTCGATGGGGAATTTTGCTTCGAAATTGTATGCCGAATCTGCAAGTAACCATCGTGATGTTCCCTAGCGAGATAAAAGGACATTAGGGAACCATCCTGAAGTAGGTCCCCACCACATGGATGGCCTTTATGTACCACGTTTTAAAGAGATGTGAGCCTATGCCAGCGGCAAAATCTGTATTCAGATAAAACAGGGAATAGATATTTTTGTGTGTATTTGATCGTTTAGTCGCGCACCCGAGTTAAGCCAAAGTATTCACCTCATGTTGCAAAGTGGAAATAGGCTTTTTTCTGTGAATATGTGGGAACTTCCGATTCATTATCCGCTATAGCAAATAACTAGAAGAATAACAAAATGCTGTATATGTTCAAATAATTTGGAAGCCTCGACACAATCAAGTTATTCTTACGGTAAGAATAGGGCTGATACTGGTCAGCGTTCCCCTCCGTCTCTGAGCGCACACAGAAAGCTGCCTATCAACGTGTGAATACAACGTTTGAGTTCTCTTTCTCAACATAATGCACGGTCAATAACTTGCCCACTAAAAGCTGCACGGATATATTTGAATACCGCGATATAGAAACAATATAGAAAAAGTTCAATCATATTTCACATATCACCCAGCCCTAGCAACCAATAATACTTACTAGTTTAAATGTTTACATACAGTAGATATTTTAAACCAAAAACCAAAAGGCTAATGCTATTTTCCTCTTGCCAGTGCTCTTTTATTACTTCATGTTAAGTGAAGGCAAATCCGAAGTAGAATCGACTATGACTTCCTCACTGAATCGTGAGAAACTTGGCTCAGCCAAAAGGCATGAAAGTTGGGGAACTGAAGTAGTTTGTTTGAAGAGGTTGGCTCTTCTTTGCAGCAATTTCCTTGCATGTGAGGCTATTTTGGTGCAAAGTGTTGATAGCTGCATGTCTTTAACTACTGTTAACACAAGAACACAATGACTGGAAGCACTTCTTCCCTCCCTTTATCGCAATCGGTCTGCTCTTATAATCCAGTCAGAATGATAGAGTGATTTCACATGACTAGCACTTTTTCACACTTTCCCATGTGCTGATGATATGATTAGTGAAATTATGTTAGCTGGTCACGTTGTGCCAGGGCCAAAAAATTTAAGTTTTTGCAATTATTTAAAATGTATCTGGTCACTCTAATGAATTGATGTGAATCAACACCACAACAACTGAAGCAGCGAACTTTGTGAAACACACGGCCAATACTTTTGGCCATGGCTGTATCGTCTTAAACTGAGATAGATACACATTAGAAACAACATTAGCATTAGCACACTCAGAAATACTTCTAGCCAGTAATTCTCAAACTGTGGTACACACACCACCCGTGATATTAATGTATGTGTGCGTGTCTATGTATAACCCACGGTCAAAGCCATCAATATAGCTCGTTTACGTAGACATTTTAGTTTTTATGAATAACGTTCGTCCTGCTGTCTCATCACTTGGTGCCATACATGGTCCATGTTTTTTTTTTTTAGTTCTGAAACATATTTTGCTTGTATGTTTTATAGAACAATTAACATTCATATGTCAAAAAATCTAAATTTAATTAATTGTCATGACCCCATTAATGTGATTTACTAGTTGTCTCTACATTTCAAAGTAGCGAATCAATCCGTTGGTGGAGGTTTACAGGCTTATCAGTTGCAGAAAAAAGATTTATTGTCAAAAGTCTCAATGGAAAATGCGAACCATAGTGAAACTGGGACAGTTGGCCTGTGGTTTCATGAACATCAGGATCTAATCAAATAGCTGTCATGACATCTCATCCCCAGTATCTGACATCCATTTACAGAAGGTCAAAGCAGTAGATCAATACATTGCTCAAAGATACTCCATGCAACTATGTGAACACACACACACACAGTTGTTGCATTTGACGTGTCTGTGAGAGAGCAGTTCGTAACACAGGACAAGTACTTTACATGTTGCATTCTCAGAACAGGGATGCTATAGCACACGTTAGCACGAACTTCCTTCTTGTACGGTCACTTTTCTTCTTCTAGGCCAACTACTGTCATGGCTGGAGCAACACATGAAGAGAATATTGCTGAATAAGTTTAAATGTGTTTACCTACCTGAATAATAACCTACAGTTTAATGGCACAGACATTTGAAGGTTATCCTTCACTACAATGAGAATCTCACTTGTAATGTGTTGTTGAAACATTTGTGTATGTTTTTAAGGTGCAGTTTCCCTCTACACTGTTCAGAATGACTGAAGGGAAAGGGTCCCCTTACTTATTAGGCAGTTTATATTAATATATCTGTTGTTTATGTTGTTTTGTCAAGCTCCTGTACATGTGTGTGTATATAATATGCACACATGACGTGTTTTGTCAGGGTTTACATGACAGTCATAAAATAATCTGTGTATTTTCACATGACTGAAAATGAGCAAGGCTTGATATAATGAGATGACTTTTTTTTTTTAGGTCACCTGTGTTCATTAAATTAACAGTAGTGAGATATGCACATATCTGTTCCCTGAATCTTCCATCCTACTGAATTTCCCTTGTTTCTGTATTATTCACATATCTCCCTCAGACTCGATCATCTGGAGCTGTTCAGTGATGCAGCATGTCTATGTTTAGAACATTTCCCCCAAAAACAATATATATATGGAATAAAACCATTCAACAACCGGTGACTGTGTGCTTCCTGCTGAATTCAGATAAATGTAACTGATCAACTGTTATTCTTTTGTTAAAAAAAAAACCTCTCCATGACTGTGATTACCAGATGAGTATTTGCAAGTACTTCCAAGCTTTATAATGGCAGTGAATGGCCGTTTCTGTTCATCTATCCATCATAAAAGTGCATCTGTCCATCATAAAAGTGCATCTGACCATCATCTTGGACAGATGCACTTTTATGATGGATAGATGCATTTTATGATGGATAGATGCACTTTTATGACAGATAAATGCACTTTTAGGACGGATAGATGCACTTTTATGACGGATAGATGCACTTTTATGATGGATAGATGCACTTTTATCATGGACAGATGCACTTTTATTGACTTCAAAACAGAAACAGCCATTCACTGCCATTATAAAGCTTTTTTAATGTAGCTCATGACATTCGTCGGAAAGAAGAATGTCATGGAATGGCTAGGATGACTTAAAGGAGAGTAAATCATGAAAACTAAACCTTTAAGAGACAGACGGACGAACGGATGGATAGATAGATAGATTAGATAGATGGAAAGATGATAGATAGACTGATGGATGGATGTCCTTTTTTCACATCATAAATTAAATAGACGAGAATTCACAAAAACTTTTATAGTGAACACACTAATCACCAATTGGGCTTTATAACAATCATTCAAATGCATTTTTGTGTAAATTAACACATTGCATTTCTTTTTTCTTTTTTTTTACATTTCCTTTTTTTTTTACTGAAAGCAGATTGTTTCCCTGGCAAAAAGCAGCATATTTATGTGCATGTGAGGATCCATCTTCATGTGAGATGTAATGCAGATGTGTCAGTCAGTTTCTCTCCAGCAGATCTCCAGAGTCTCTGAGGACCAGCTGCTTCAGGAGAGTTAATCTGAGCTGTCGGTGTTCCTCCAGGAGCAGGACTGATCTGATGACCGGATCTGATGATACTAAATAGAATTGAGTTCACTGCACTCAAATATTACTGAAACTTCAATGACTGAAACAGAACTCGAACTGAATATAGAACATTTCTAGATCCCAGAATGAAAATTGAATAATAATTGTATAATTAAGTGATGATTGAGCATTAGTGATGAACACCTGCTGTTAACAAGCAGAATCACTGAAGAAAATAGAAAAACAAGAACTACAACTCACTTTCAGCCACAGCCTTAGATGAAATCAGCTGAAGATAAAAGAAGACATTAAATCGCTCAAGATCTCAGCAGAGGAGGATTAAACACCTCCACAAACAGCATTACCAGCTTCACTTAATACTAACCAGTTTGACTTTATTACTGGCATTCGTCTACAGAAGCTCTAATTAGAATTAACAGAGGTTTAGAAGTTGATGATTTGAGTTTCGTATAAGGTCACCATGATGGAGATCAGCGTTTGCTTTTGCAAACAATTTTTTCTTTGGCTGCTGGAAGTGTTTATAAAACAAATATGTTATGGCACTAAAGTCAAGGAAAAGTATGAATGGGTGTTGATTGTTCAAGATTCATGATGACAATCATCATTTATCTCTGATTAAAAGGGCAACATTACATTTGTTTATTCAAAACTGTGATTCTACAAGTAAGTGTCAGCACTGTTATACACCGTCAGATATTATGAAAGACTTCACAAACAGTTTGTGCAGAAAAAGTTTCACAGAAAATGTTGAATTACCAAGACTCACACAGACATCAAGAATCAGCATATGAATCTCAACAATGGTGACCATTAAAAAACGACTCATGCTGCAATGCATGCTGGGTACTAGCATTATACAAAACTTATCCATGGCTCCCAGCATGAATCATTTTTTGATGGTCACCATTGTTAAGATTCATATAATGATTCTTGATATCTGTAAGTCAGCATGATACCATAGAGGTTAAAATCTGATTGTCACAACAGTAGAATCACAGTTCTATTATAATGTATAATACAGTAGAATCACAGTTCTATTATAATGTATAATACAAGTAATACATCACCTGTTTATTCAGAGATTAGGCTCTGAAAAGATCAGGGGCCGGTTGCACCAGCTGTGCGTGAGTTACAACTTAGCCTAGTTTTGACGTAAATGGGCACTAAGTTACAACTTACATACTACTAAATATTTTTGCGTTGCACCATTAAACTTAGTTTAAACTAGGGCTGTCAGTTAAACGCATTACGGCGTTAACGCAAAACCCATTTTAACGCGATTAACGGTCTTTTTGGCCTTGCAAACTTTTTTTGTCATTTTTCACATGCTTTTGCATACCGGACGCTATGAAACCCATTCATTTCAATGGTTTGCGCTGCGCGAGGACGTTTTGTTGCTTCATTGACCAAAGCGCAAGAGCAGCAGCGTGCACACCACGGTCAAAATTCAAAATAGTTCAACTTTTGCCGTTGTGACGATTACCAGCGCGGCCAATAGAAACGTTTTGGCATCCAAAAAGTTTTGAAAACTGGCGTAGCGCCGCGCATTCCGTGTCCTTTCTGAAAGCACCGGATCTAGCTAGACCGGAAACACTTGTTGCGAGCCGGCCAAATAGTAGGTTAACGTTACGTTTGGAGTGGATGACGAGCGCGAGACGCCGAAATGGATGCCAATAAGATTCTGAATGGAAAGTTTACTTTTAAAAAGTTTCCAAACGGTTCCATTGACAAGACCAAAGTGATCTGTGTGTTTTGTCGTTGTGAACTGAGCTATCATCATCGCAGCTCGTCCAGTCTGAAATACCACTTGATGGCCAAGCACACACACACACACACACAGCTGATGCGAATTCTCCGCCCTCTCGTCAATATCAGGACCTCGTCAGTATTTCTTTCACCCTTTTATTGATGGACAGTGTTACATTGTGTGAAAGATTATTTGCTCCAAGTGAAAATGTTTTAGTGTGAAATTGAACACAGTATATGTCAATGTTGTTTTCAATAAAAAACATTTGCACAAAGCAAGCCGATCCACTTTTTCATGTTGATAAGAGCATTAAAATTAGAAAAAATAAAGGGACAAAAAGAAATCAAGAGACATTTAGAATAGATAAAAATGTGCGATTAATTGCGATTAATCGCGCTTTAACTATGACATTAATGCGATTAAATATTTTAATCATTTGACAGCACTAGTTTAAACGTAACTCTACGTTCCAACTAAATATTTATGGCAGCCTCTACCAATGAATAACGGTCGGAATGAGATGGCAACCAGATTAGATTACATCGATGAGCTCGTAATTGATAATGAAGAACCGCAAATTCGTCGACGAGTTTTACGAGACCAACATCATCCTTTTGATATTTATGATGATGTCGACATATATGCTCGTTTGCGCTTTAAAAGAGTGGGATAACGGACATGATCGTGCCTGATATTCAACATGAAACAGACTCTCTCCCCAAGCCTTCAAGTCTGCGTCGCATTATGTTATTTTGCTACTGGATCTATGCAAAACTTAGTAGGCGATAGCATACAAATTCATAAATCTACAGTATGTAGAGTGATCCGCAGAGTGTCACTTGCCTTGTGTCGCCATATGAACAACTACATGTGCCGGCCAAGCATAAATGTACAAAACAGGCAAAAATTCCATGCCATTGCCAGTTTCCCTGATGTCCTTGGCTGTGTCGATGGGACACAAATCAGGATAAAAGCACCCACAGTGGATGGATGCTTTTGTGAATAGGAAGGGATTTCATTCACTAAACAACATGGCGTCATGACTTTGCGTAAACATACACGCCACTTTCAAGTCAAGTGGCGTGTTATCTATACGCATTTTGAGCTATGTCCACGCCGAAACGAACCATCATCTTTTGCGTGTATGTCTACGCCGTTAAATGTCCGAGTGATTCCGCGTGTATGTACACGCCGTTAAATGTCCGAGCGAAACGAAGCAAAATGTAGATCTACATCTGGGGAGCGATATTTTTTTTCCTAGGATGGTAGGGGAAGACTCATAAATGGTATTAACCCCAGTGACGGGTAGGTTTAGGGACGGGGTTGGGGTAGGTCATATATTTATATATACAGTAATGTAACGTTAAGTCAAAGGCGTTGATAAACACGCTGAAAAGCGATTATGCGTGTTAATAGCACGCCAAAAATGGAAATACGAATTGGCGTGTCATACATACGCCATTTCATGAGATCAGTCTGCACTAAACACCCAAGTCATCTGTGACCCAAGTTTGTGTTTCTTAATCTGCGTTGCTAGATGGCCAGGTTCAAAGCACGACAGTTTCATCCTATAAAGATCAAACATCTTTGAAAACTTTGATTCTGGGGAGTATGCTGGGTGATTCTGCCTACCCACTTAAAAAGTGGCTGATGACACCATACTTAACACACAAGCAGAGGACAAATTCAGTTCTGCACATACCAAAACAAGGGTAACGGTGGAAAGAAGTATCTGTGTTTTAAAAAGGAGGTGATCATGTCATGCAGCATATTTAAATTTGTTTTTTAATTTTTGTTTTATTGTTTATTTTTGATCAGTTTAGGCTAATATTTCAGATAAAGTACAAGTTTTGAATACAACCCAAATGTCCTCGGTAGGAATTGCAATGAAGCCAGAGAGAGCAGCAAAGGTGACAGGAGCATGCATTGTATTGCACAATTTGGCCATGCTGTGGAAGATGCCAGTTGATGATCTAGGAGGTGAAGAGATTGAGGAGGTGTTAGTGACCGGATCTAATGTTCTCTGCGTCCCTCAGCCGGAGTGAGCAGATCTGCTCTCGGAGGAGCCGGAGCCGGTGCCGGTGTCGACGGGACTCTGCTCTGTGGTGTAGGAGGAACCACCTCGATGGACACACACACACCGGCCTCCACCTCATCCAGCTCAACCAGCTCTGACCACACTGACAACACACACACAACCGCTGATCAGTCACAGACAAACACACACAAGACTTTACACAAAGACAAAAGTTCTAAACTTACAAAATATAGAGTGAAAAAAGGAGAGAACAAGTACGTACGTATTGTTTGTGTAAAGATGTCAGCTTTTTTATGAAACTGATGGGTGTGCAAGACAGCATGAGAGCTGATGATGATGCTTTATGAATATCAGAAGTGGTTTGATAAAGGTCGTAATGCCACAGAATACTAGCAGAACTTTAGTGGACAGATATCAGCTTTACAAGCACTTCTGCTGTACTCAGACCCTGCTAAACCAAGCAACAACTGACAAAAACACCCGTTAAAATTACATTTGTGGGGAATTAAATGTTTTATAAAGTAACAGATAGAAAGTTATGAGGCCAGCCTGACTGAGCATCTGCAGATTCCCAAGTGAAGTCTTTACACCGGGTTTATTATTAATATGATCATGCCACATACAGTTCAGCAAAATTATACAATGATACACTTTTAAAGATTCTCAGTGTAAAACAGGAATTCATTATATGCATGTGTTTGATCTTTAATTGGTACTGTTATTAAGAGTATTTGATATATATATTTAATATGATGATTTATTATCAATGTTGGAAACAGTTGTGCTGCCTAAAAAAATTGTTTTATAACCTGTGATAATCTTAGGATTCACTGATGAATAAAAAGTTAAAAAGAACAGCATTTATTTAAAATAGTAAAGATTTGTATTGTTAAAAACGATTTCTATCACTTTTTATCAATGTTACACATCTTTGCTCGATAAAAGTATAAATTTTTGTCACAAAAAGAAAGAAGACAAATGACTGACCCAAACCTTTGAACGGTAGGGTAGTGTATATTGTTAGAAAAGATTTCTATTTTAAATAAATGCTGTTCTATTTAACTTTTTATTCATCGGTGAATCCTGAGAAAAGTATTACAGGTTATAAACAAATATTAAGCAGCACAATTTTGTCCAACATTGATAATAAATCATCATATTAGAGTGATTTCTGAAGGATCATGTGACACTGAAGACTGGGGGAATGATGCTGAAAATTCAGCTTTGACCACATGAGAGTGAATTATAATTTAAAGTATATTAATTGTAATTAATATATAAATTGTAATAATATTTCACAATATTACTGTTTTTTCTGTACTTTTGATCAAATAAATTCAGGCTTGATGAGCATAAGACACCTCTTTCAAATACAATGTCTGGTCGGTACTGTGCTCAGAGGTGTTGTATTGTGTGGGCGATGTAAGTAAGTGATGCTCTGCTGCCCTCTGGCGTTTGACTCAAACTTTCAGCCTTAATGTAAAGTAAACATCTAACGAGAAAACTGACAGAAGCCGGCGATGCTGTTTTACCTGGAGACAGTGAAGAAGAAGAAGAAGAAGAAGAAGAAGAAGAAGAAGAAGAAGAAGAAGAAGAAGAAGAAGAAGAAAGAAAAAGTAAGCGAACCTTCGTTTTTCTGTTAAAGTGATGAGATGACATGCGAGCTTCGCACTTTAAAGTCTAATTGTTTTACGACAGTTGACACGCTGTGCCTGACCATAATAAACATGACGTCATATCGCTCTTCAGTCTCGAGCAGTGTCTGTCTTCCCGTGAAGGTAAATCTCTATAGAAATACATAAAATAATCATTAACTGTTCTGAAAATTGTTGTTTTTCCCTGTTCCTCGGTGTGTATCTGCATGTACGGTTTGAGACACTTCAGTGACAACGAACAGGAAAGATCACAGAACACCACATTAACGCGGTAAATTACATTCAGTAATCCACATTTTAATTTCATAATCTGAATGTTACATATACAAATTGAACACTGAGTCTAATTGTCTATCTATATATATCTATATATATGTCTATTTGTTTATCTATCTATCTATCTATCTATCTATCTATCTATCTATCTATCTATCTATCTATCTATCTGTCTGTCTGTCTGTCTGTCTATCTATTTATCTGTCTGTCTATCTATCTATCTATCTATCTATCTATCTATCTATCTATCTATCTATCTGTTTATCTATCTATCTATCTATCTATCTATCTGTTTATCTATCTATCTATCTATCTGACTATCTATCGGTCTGTCTGACTATCTATCTGTCTGTCTGTCCGTCTGTCTATTTATCTGTCTGTCTGTCTATCTATCTGTCTGTCTATCTATCTGTCTGTCTATTTATCTGTCTGTCTATCTATCTATCTGTCTGTCTATTTGTCTATCTGTCTATATCATCTTTCTATCTATCTATATATCTGTCTGTCTATCTATCTGTCTATGTCTGTTTATCTATCTATCTATCTATCTATCTATCTATTTGTCTGTCTTTCTATCTATCTAGCTGTCTATTTGTCTATGTATCTGTCTATTTGTCTATCTATCTATCTATATATCTATCTATCTATCTATCTATCTGTCAATTTGTCTATCTATCTGTCCGTCTGTCTATCTATCTATCTATCTATCTATCTATATATCTGTCTATTTGTCTATCTATCTGTATATATATATATATCTGACTATCTATCTGTCTGTCTATCTGTCTGTCTGGCTATCTAACTATCTGTCTGTCTGTTTGTCTATCTTTCTATCTATCTATTTGTATATATATATATATATATATCTGTCTATTTGTCTATCTATCTATATATCTATATATAAATATATGTCTATTTGTTTATCTATCTATCTGACTATCTGTCTGTCTATTTGTCTGTCTGTCTATTTATCTGTCTGTCTATCTATCTATCTATCTGTCTGTCTGTTTATCTATGTCTGTCTGTCTGTCTGTCTGTCTATCTGTCTGTCTATCTAACAATCTATCTGTCTGTCTGTCTGTCTATTTGTCTATTTATCTGTCTATTTGTCTATCTGTTTATCTATCTATTTGTCTATCTATCTATCTGTCTATCTATCTATCTATCTATCTATCTATCTATCTATCTGCCTGTCTGTCTATTTGTCTATCTATCTGTCCGTCTATCTATCTATCTATCTATCTGTCTGCCTGTCTGTCTGTCTATTTGTCTATCTATCTGTCTGTCCATCTATCTATCTATCTATCTATCTGACTATCTATCTATCTATCTCTGTCCATCTATCTATCTATCTGTCTGTCCATCTATCTGACTATCTATCTATCAGTCTGTCTGACTATCTATCTATATCTGTCTGTCTGTCTGTCTGTCCGTCTGTCTATTTATCTGTCTGTCTGTCTATCTATCTGTCTGTCTATCTAATTCTGCCCTACATGCATTATTGGGTGTTTTCCTTTGTAGTTTTAGTATCATCTTGCAGAATTCTGTGTGTAGGGCTTCTGTTGGATGTCTGTCCCATCTAGTGTAGCTCTGATCACTGAGTGGACCCCAAACCTCACTTCCATACAGCGCAATGGGCTGGATTACACTATCAAAGATTTTACACCAGATTGGAATCGGTAATTCAGTGTTTTGGAATTTCTTCTTAATGGCGTATAGAGCTCTTCGAGCTTCATCTTTGAGAGCATTCACTGCCATACTGAAACTCCCTGATGCAGTGATTACCAGGCCGAGGTAAGTGTACTGCATCGTGTGCTCTAGGCCGGTGCTGCCTAGACTGAACTGGTATCTGTGTTCCCTGACATCTGGGCTTCTTTTGAAAGACCATAATGTTGGTCTTTGTGAGGTTTACTGCCAGGGCCCAGTTCTGGCAGTAGTTCTGCAGCAGGTCCAGGTGCTGCTGTAGTCCCTGTGCAGTGGGTGACACACACACACACACACACACACACACACACACGCACACAGGGTGACAGCAGCACCAGGTCGTCTGCGTACAGCAAGAGCTTGATGCTCCTGTCCTGTAGAGTGAGTCCAGGGCCTGTAGACTGCTCCAACTGCACCGCTAGTTCATTAATGTAGATGTTGAACAGCGTTGGACTCAGGCTACAGCCCTGCCGCACTCCTCTTTTCTGGGTGAAGAATTCTGTATGTTTGTTGCCAATTCGTATTGCACATTTGTTGTTCGAATACATTGATTTTATAATGTCATAGACTTTACCCCCTACACCACTTTGTAAAAGTTTATAATATAATCCGTTGTGCCAAATAGAATCAAATGCTTTTTTGAAATCGACAAAGCATGCAAATATTTTTCCCTTTTTGGTCTGTTTTACGTGTTTATCGATTAGGGTGTGTAGGGTGTAAATGTGGTCGGTAGTTCTGTCATTTGGAACGAAGCTAATCTGACTCGAGCTCAGGACATTGTGTGTGTTCCTTAAGGAAGCTTACAATTCTATCGTTTAAAATACTGCTAAATAACTTCCCCAGATTACTGCTCACACAAATGCCTCTGAAATTATTAGGATCCAATTTATTTCCACTCTTATGGATTGGGGTAATAAGTCCTTGGCTCCAGATGTCAGAAAAACAGCCTGAACTGAATACAATGTTGAATAGTTTGAGCACCGCCACCTGGAGCTCCGAGGTGCTGTGTTTCAGGACCACAAGATTTATTACCTTTTTGGCTTTTGAGTTTGTTTGTCAATTCTTCATGTGTAATTGGGAAATCAAGTGGATTTTGATTAGTTTAATTGTCTCTTCATAAGTTTGTAGATTTTGTTTGATCAGATTATAATTGTCATTGAGTTGTTTTGATGGGATTTCTTTGTATAAGTTTTCAAAATGATTTGTCCAAATTTCTCCATCTTGTGGTTTTGTTGTGCTCAGATTATTCCACATATCCCAGAACTGATTATGATTTATTGAATGTTCTAATTCTTGTATACTTTTGGTCAGATGGTGTTGCTTCTTCACTCTAATTGTGTCTTTATATATTTTTAGTTTTGAAAAGTATTCAGTTCTTATGTCAGTGTTGTTTGGTTCTTTATGTTTCAGATTTGATCATTTTCTAAGTTGTTTTCTTAATGTTTTGCAGTCTGAGTCAAACCATTTTTCATCTTTTGGAGTATTAATAGTGTATCTTTTGCCTTTC